TTCTCAGAGTGCTAGAGAGTGCATATTGGAGGGAGAAAAAGTTCACAAAGCTCCTGGAAAGATTTTACAACCCAGAATATCTGTCACAGGAAATGCTGTGTTTATCACTTCATCAATGGCCTTGTTTGTAATGATATTGTCAAGATTCCTGGCTAGAACTCCTGTGTTTGTCCTTTCATTTAGAAAAAAAAAGTTTTTTTTTTTGGTAAGGTTTATTAATTTTTATTTGAAAGACAGATTTACAGAGAGACAGAGATCTTTTCTCTGCTGATTCACTCTCCCAGCGGTCACAATGGCCTGATTGGGCCAATTCAAAGCCAGGAGCCAAGACTTTCTTCTGGGGCCCATGCAGTTGGGCCATCTGCTGCTTTCCCAAGCCATAGCTGGGAGCTGGGTTAGTGTTGACTCCTGGCTCTTGGTTTTAGATCAGCTCAGCTCTGGTCGTTGTGGTCATTTGGGGAGTGAACCACCGAAAGGAGGACTTTTTTTTTCTGTCTGATGTGACCCATCTCCTCATCCATCATTATGTCAGGCACTAGGATATGGTCCTGTTAGCTTTTGCAAGGACTGGTGTTTGGCCGTCAGCATTATTCAGTGATAACAAGTTCTACACAGGACTCAAAGGAGATTGGTATATCAGTCTTGTCCATAAAGAATATCTGGTCCCTCTCTTCCAACCTACCAGGTCTCAGTACCCTGTTTACCTTCAAAGGAAAAGTTACTCTGTCGTTTGGAGTCTTCAGGATTGATTAAAAAACAACAACAACAATAACAAAACAGAAGCACAGTGGGCTCAACATGGAGCTACCTAAGCAGCAATTCAAAGCCCCAAAACCCCAGAGCTCTCAGCTAGTGGCCAGCAAGTGGAACCTGGCGCCAAATGGCGCACTGGCCTGGGGACAGCTCACTGCATGTACGCGGTGGCTGGAATCAGGGCTCTGAGTGTAAAGACGATCCCGGCCTGATACCCACCAGCAGCCTACAGGCTGCTGGAAGTTTTAACCCCCAGACCCCAAGGTCGCCCCCTCCCCAATCCCATCCACCGCACAATGTTGGCAGTGGATGGGGAAAACTAGAGTTCTTATACCTAGTCCAGCCCATGGCAAAATGCTGAAGAGCAGGTAAAAATCTGCCCTTTACCCTTCTTATTTCTTTTCTTTCTCAAATATTCAGAATTTCCTCTCACTCAAATATCCAGAAGGGGCTATGGTTTCCAGCTCAGGTGTAAAATGCTTGAACTAAGGGTAGGCATCTGGCCTAGCAGTTAAGCAACTGGTTAAGATGGTTTGATGTTACAGACCTTGGATTTAAGTTCCAGTTCTACTCCTGATTCCAGTTTGCTGCCAGTGCAGACCCTGGGAGGAGCCACTGGTGATACGTGGAGTGGTTGAGTCCCTGCCACCCACACAGGAGATCTGGATTGAGCTTCTCATTTCAGCCTTGGCCAAGCCCTTGACCACTGTGGTCATTTGGGAATAAAGTAGCACATGGGAGTCCCTGTCCTCCTACCATCCCTGTTTCTCAAATTAGGGATTACGACTGGAGCCCATATGGGATCCCAGTGTATTCAAGGCGAGGACTTTAGCCACTAATCCACAGGACCGGGTCCAGAAATATTTTTGAAGATTTATTTATTTGAAAAGTAGAATTACACAGAGAGGGAGAGAGAGAGATGGAAAGAAAACAAGAGAGGAAAAGAAAGAGGGGGCCCAGCATAGTAGCCTAGTGGCTAAAGTCCTTGCCTTGTATATGCTAAGATCCCATATGGGAGCCAGTCTTAATCCCGGCAGCCCCGTTTCCCATCCAGCTTCCTGTTTGTGGCCTGGGAAAGCAGTCAAGGATGGACCAAAGCCTTGGAACCCTGCACCCGCGTGAGAGACACGGAAGAGGCTCTGGGCTCTTGACTTCAGATCGGCAGAACTCTGGCCGTTGCTGCCACTTGGGAAGTGAATCAATGGACACAAGATCTTCCTCTCTGTCTCTCCTCCTCTGTGTATCTGACTTTCCAATAAAAATAAAATAAATCTTATAAAAGAGAGAGAAAGGGGAGAGAGAAAGAAAGAAAGAGAGAGAGCGAGCGAGCTTTCCCTTCCACTGGTTCACTTCCCAAATAGCCTCAATGACCAGAGTTGGGCCAGACTGAAGCTGGAGACTGGAGCTCCGTCTGAATCTCCCACGAGGGTGCAGAGGCCCAGAGACTCGCGGCTGCTTTTACTGCTTTCCCAAGCACACTAGCAGGGCACTGAATACGAAGTGGAGCAGCAGGGACTTGAACCAGCACCCATATGGGAAGCAAAGATTGAAGGCAGCGGTCTATGCACCCTGCACAATCCCAGGCCCCTGGAAGTAGATTTTGAACAAGGGAGTCACTTTATCTTCCAGGTCCCCTGACTCTGCAGATTGGCCGCAATAGTCCTTCTAGCTCCTGGTCTGCTTTCATCTCTCCAAGTGACACATTTAATCTGTTAGTAACTGACCTTTGCAAGTCCTTGCTTTTCTCCCTTCTGCTCAATTTTCCAGTTTCATTGGGGCCACTTCCTTGTTCTCACATGCCAGTTTCACTGGCATTCAGGTGCCCACCAGTGCCAAGCTCCTCCTCTCCAGGTCCTGTGTGCACGTTGCTCCCCAGCTTTGTCCCTCCCTGCCTAGCCAGTTTCCAGGCAGCTTCAGGTCTTTGCTGAAGTTCATTTCCTGGGGGCAAATTTCCCTGACTTTGGGGAAGCTGCTTATCAACACTTCCTCTTTGCATCATATTAGCATAACTATTTGCTTACAGTTTCCCCCTGACTAACCTACAAGCTGCAGAAGTGTCTTCAGGTTTCTCTCCAGCACGCAGTGCCTGGCTCCCCATAAATACATGTGGAAAGGGACACTAGGCAGGGTTTACACACACACGCCACACACACAAACACCACACAATGCAGTAGCTCAACACACTGATCCTCCACTCTGTGGTGCAAGCATCCCATATGGGCATGAGTTTGTGTCCCAGCTGCTCCACTTCTGATCCAGCTCTCTGCCTATGGGCCTGGGAAGAGGTGGAGGTTGACCCAAGTCCTTATACCCATATGGGAGACCCAGAGGGGACTCCTGACTCCCAGCTTTGGATCAGCTAAGTGTTGGCTATGGCGGCCATTTGGGGAGTGAACTAGTGGATGGAAGATCTCTCTCTACTTTTCCTTCTCTCTTTGTAAAAACTGCCTTTCAAATAAAAATAAATAAATATTAAAAGAAAAGGGTAGGGGAAGGGAGACTGAATGCTTCATCTGTCCAGTGGCAAAGCTGAAAGCGGCAGCTAAAGCCATTTCAGGCACAAACCCTAAACTGGTGTCAGACATTCCAAATTCCCCTTACTTCTTCCCGGTGCTTAAATGTGTGTTATGTGAGTGCGTCTGTGTGTATGTGTGTATGTGTGCAGGAGGCTTGTTAATCTGCCAAACAAATCTGCATTTTAACTCAGAAATCTTGAAGAAATGGGGCGTGGGGGGGGGGCGTGTAATGCCAAAGGCATCAGTCACAGTTTGTGTTGCCTTGAAGAAGTTTCGTTCAATCCTAAATGACGGTAATAGTCAAAGAATCTCTAAAGTAGCAGGCATTTTAAGGTGTAGGCTTTTTGTTTGTTTGTTTCCCTCAGCTCTGCTGTGTATTTTTTCAACTTTATTTCACCACAAAGGGGTTATTCTTATCCCCTTTGTTAATAGAGGCAATCGGAGAAAGGCTTAGTCATTTGCTCACACTGCACACCTGCTGCAAAGGCCGGTCTCGGGCCCCTCACCCACCCAGGATATGACTTGGTGATCTAATCGTCTTTGGACAAGGCTGTGCTGCCTCCAGGGGTGAGCGTGGACAACTGCTTACATGGTTGCTGCGGAGACCTGGGCCGCAGGGTTCACGGGACCGCCAGCTTGGGAGATGCATATTGCTGCGCGTCATTTTTGTGGCAGGAACTCCAGTCTCAGTGGGTGCCTGACCTTATTCATTCCAGTCATAAACGTGATTGGGGGCAGAAACAAGTGCTTTGGGACACTGAAAGCAAAAGGATGAGACAAATACCCAATTCCAGTTTCTTCTTGAGCCTACCACACTCTCTTGCGGACCACCACAAGGCAGGTGGTATTAGGTTGGCCACAAACAGTGCATTATTTATCTGCTTAGCCCTATTTTCTTTTAACAAAAGCTACTAAGAGATGGGCTAGCCTAGTATCAGATATCCCTGCCTGAATTGGGTTTCCCTTTGAGGAAAAAAGATTCTTTCCCACTCATGAGATCTCTTTTTGCATTCTGGTTCCTGAACACAGTATTTCTGTCATGACCAGTAGCGGTGCTGCTGGTAGGGCACCCTTCTGCTTTAGGGCCAGATGCACCAGGCTACTTAATAGCTTTGTCACTTTGGGCAGACTGCTAAACCTCTCTCGGGTCCGTGAAATGGAGAGTGATGGCTATCTAGAAGTTGCTGCGGGTATTCCCAGGGTGTTAATTTTCTTCCTTTGTGGGGATGTTATTTGTCGTGACGACACAGTCCTTAGTTCTGAAAAGGAATTGTAGATACGCTGTGCGGTATCACCTTGGCCCGGCACTGAATTTCCTCCTTTTTTTTTCTTTTTGTTTGTAGACGGTAGTGCTCGTCGGGCCCTCTCTTGTCAGAGGATGATGGCCAGAACCCCGGCATGGTCTCTCTCCAGGACAGGGCGCCGGGAGAAGTTCCCCAGGGGCTTCGAGACCTCCCCCGCCCCCATCTCCTTTCGGGTGTGGGGGGGTGCCATTTGCAGCAGGGAAGTAGGTTTATCTTTAAGGTTTCTCGGATCGCGGCGGTCGCTTCCCTCACGAAGAAAAACAGACTTTTACTCAAGCCAGTCTGTCCAGGGTTTAGCCCGAAATCTCGTGCGGTCCGACCCTGGCCACCTAGCCCGGACCCCTTAGGCCCCAACCCCGAGGCGGTGGGAAGTGTGGAGGCCGCGCGCGCTCCGCTTCCGCTCCTCCAGCCCAGCAGAGGGCGCTGCGGCCGCGCCTCGTCCTCGCCGCGGTGCTCCGCGCCAGGCCTCTTCCGCGTGGGTGACTGACTGTGAGAGTCGGCGCGCGCGCCGCTCGTCTCCGCCGGCCTGCGCCCGGGGCTCTGCGGCGAGGGGCGGGCGCGCGCGCCGGGCCATAGAGACGGGCGTTGAGCCGTGCGGCTAGAGCGTCGCCGAGTCGGAGCCGGAGCCCGAGCCGCGCGCTTGTGTCTCCGCTGCGTCCGCCGAGGCTCCCCGAGTGTCAGGGACAAAAGCCGCCGCCGCCGCGCCGTCTGCTCCCGCCGCCGGGGCTCCTCCGCTGCCGCCGCCCCCTCGAAGCCAGCTCGACGCCTTCGCCGACCCGTGAGGATCCGAGAGCCATGTCGGCCAGCAGCCTCTTGGAGCAGGTACAGGCCCAAGCCCGCATGCCTCGGCCATTGTGTGTAAGGCGAGGGAGAGGAGAGGAGGGAGCCCGACTAGGCCCGGGGCCCGCCGCCCCCGGTCGGGCCGAGACGAGGCGGCGCCTCTCGCCGGCCGGCTCGTCGGGCTTCTCGGGCCGGCCGCGCCCCGGCGCCCCGTCGGCCCCCTCCCCAGCCGGCTCTTCCCGCTCCCGTGCGAGGCCGCGCGTTCCTCGTCTCCCTCCCCTCGCGTGGCTGCTGGCGCGGCCCCCCGCTTGTCCTCGCCGGCCCCCTGAGCGCCTTTCCCCGCCTCCCATTTTTTTTTTTTTCCACCTCCTCTTCACCCCAGCACCAGCACCAGCACCATGCCTGACGCCGCCTCCCCTCGGGCACGTTGCTTTTTTGATTCTCCGCTCCCCACCCCCATATCCCGCTCGGGCCCTGCTTTAACGGGTCTCCTCCGTCTTTTTCCCCATTTTTTTTTTTTTCCTTCGGACCACTTGGCCGCTCGGCGACTTCCCCCTCCCCCGGCGCTCGCAGCGACCCAAAGGTCAAGGAAACAAAGGTAGGCGCCTGGGCTCGGGCCGGGGCGGGGGTCGGGGGTCGGGGGCCGCGGTGGGGGTGGGGGGCCGGGCGCGCAGGTGCCTCGCCGCCCGCGGGGTGGTTCTCTCCGCAGCTGGCCGGGCGGCAGTTCTCCAGCAACAAGGAGGAATTCACGGCGGGGTGGGGGGGTGGGGGTGGGCTCGGCCCTGAAAATGTCCCAGGTCCATGAGTTTCCTGTAGGTCTCAGAAGGCCTTTGTTTTTCTTCCTCGTGGATCACTTTCTGGAAGTACCCGCATGGGACGGGACGGGGCGCGGGGGAGGGGGAGGGAGGGGAGGCGGGAGAGAATTGAAATCCACCGGAGCCAATAAAATGACCTTTGGAGATCCACTTGCTCGCGGTGGAGAGGAGGAGACATTTTCCTGGACGGCTGTTGTTTTAGCTTTCCCTGTTTGTGCTTGTGAAATCCGAGCTTATTTTGCCTTCAACTAGGGAGTTTTTTTCCTCGGGTCAGGGTGTGTTTGGATTAGGAAGGATATGGCAGGATGGAGACATTCCTAATTTGGGTTTCTTTTCTTCTCTCTTTTTTTCCCCCTTTAGTGCAAAATGGATCTGTGCATCAGAAGGACGGACTAAATGATGATGATTTTGAACCTTATTTGAGCCCACAGGCAAGGCCGGTGAGTTGTTAACCATTTACGTACCTGGTGTTGTATACCGTTGTTTTCCTGCTCTGTTGGTAAGTCTGCTCTTTGGAGAGGGGGAGGGCTGTTTCGCTTTCCTAATGGCCGTTAATGTGTTGTGAAGCATTTAAAGCAGGCTGCTAGGCCCTGTAAGAGTCCCAGTTAGGTTTTGTCAGCCGGCATATCCTGCTCTGAGACTCATCCAGGTAGCATTTGGCCTAGAACTAGCGGCCATGCTGGGTAACTGACCCCTCCCTGCCCCCAGGCATTTAGTTTAAATGCTCAATATTTAGAAAATAATGTCAGAACACATTTACTTGGAAGTTGGGTTAATTACGTGAACAGAAATGTTCTGGACTAAAATCTGAGGTTAAAATACTGTTCTCAAGTGAAAGTAAGTTAAAGAATGGTTGAGGGATTTGCAGTGTTAGCAGGCTTCCAAGGGCCAGAGTAGAGGCATGTGGATTCAGGTCTTGAGGAAACTTGTTGGCTTCAGCAGGTCTTCTGTATTACCGCCTCTAGTCTGAGAGACAGTCACCAAGGTGTAGCTAATGGAACTCCCCAGATTGATGGGCCCGAGAGGAAAACTGACTGAGATCAAATTCAAGTAGCATCTGCTATGTGAAGTCTAGTTGGCAGCCTTGAATAACATGACACTGATGTATTCCTGATTGTTCTATAAATTGTAGCCCCTGGTGTGTGGTTTACTGTACACCACCTTAGTAGGTGATTCGGGAAAAGTTTTCTCAATCAGTAAATTGTGAAAAGCAGAGAAGGAAGTAGAACTGTAGTATGAACTATTACTAAGTTGTTGTTATTGAAGTAATTTGCTTACATAATCCTACCAGGGAGAGAGAGAGCATTTAGAAACATAATTCTTGATGATTCTTATAAAAACACTGTAGAATTCATTTGTTCGGGCTTGGGGCATGTGGGTCCCCACAGGGTCAGGTGTAGGCATTTAGCTGGATCCTCATGGCTGGCAATGATAAGTGCATTTGGCATTTCTCAAAGAAGCTAAAGCTTAAATACCTGTTGAAAAATATTTGAGGGAAAATACAAATTTTGGGTGAGTAGGTGAAGAAGAGTAACCTAAGAATCTTTGTTTTTAGTTTTTTGTTTTTACTTTATTATTGGATCTTTTGTTATTTTTAGCCATTTTTTTATTGCCTGATGTTGGAATAATACCTCAAGCTTAATCCATTGATAGAAATAAATTAATCCCATACATAATGAATTTGAGTCTGGAAGTTTTTCAAGAGTTTTTGAAATTGAGAAGGTTATATGTGAAAAAAATGTTTTTAAGAAAAAAATTCAAATTGGTTGATGAAAGTACAGCCATTACCATCAAGCCACATTAGCTAAAACGTTTACTATTGAAGAGCTATGTTTTAACGGTTAAGGAATATTGTTGACGCACAGCCTGCAGTGGTTAGGATCATCCAAATCTTTTTAAGGACAAAGCTGCCTGTTGACTAGTTAAGACTGTTTTTAGGGAGTTAGGGTAAGCTCACAATTTAAAAGTTGTGTTTACTTATGTGCAAGAATGAGAGGGAGGGAGACAGTGAGGAGACCTTCCTTCCGCCTGGCAGGAAGTTGGATCCCGAGTGGAGGTGGGACTTGATCCCAGGCACTCAGCACGGGGTGTAGGGTGTACCCAGGGAGACAGTGCCCACTCCAGGTTAGACTCTGTGTTGAGTTGATTTTGTATCTGCATCGACAAAGCACAATTGTGTAGGCCTCTGGCTTCTCCGTGAAGGTTATTCCAGGAGCTGTAGGACTTGTTAATGATACATATGTATTAATTTTGATTATTCTTTAGGATAATTTACTTAAGCTTACGGATTATACATTGTCTTTAGGATCATGCTGTTTCTAATTAAAAAGTTAGGTGTAGAGTTTTACCTTACAGCCATTAATTTTGTGGAGGAAGCAAAATCGGTAGCAGTATGATTTTCTTGTTTTAAACTCTCTGCAAGCCACTGTTTATATCCTTGCCAGGTTATGATTTAGTGGTGGCATCTATTGGTGATCCTGGATAACTTGCCAGGAGGCCAACACTAAACCGTAGGTACCTAACCTTGCCTTTAGGTTTCAGATGGAATGACTGCACAGATGCTTTAATTTCCAGTTGTTTTTGTTTTATATCTGTTTTCTGGTTTTGGTAGGAAACTTTTTTAAACAATATCATTCTGCCAAAATTCCCCCTGCTTAAAATCACAAATACTGGTTTTAACAAAAGCATTGTCTCAGCACTTCTCAGCACCAAGACTTAAACCTGAGGAAATGCTCGGTGGTTTTTTTTTTTGCATTGACAGTGTTAAAACCAATATTCAGTATATATACCAGATTGAATGTAAGCATTTAAATATTTCAGTTATACCAAGTTTTTTAAAATAACAGTAACTAGAAAGATTATTTTATGTGCCCATGTGCTACTCTCATTTTTTGTAGCAGTAGTTGAAATATTTTGATTGTGTTACTAAATTGGGGAGAAATTTCTTGAGATTATTATTTTTGTGTTTGATTGTCCTTTTTTTTTCCTGTTTTCCTTCACAGAGTAATGCGTATACTGCCATGTCTGACTCCTACCTACCCAGTTACTACAGCCCCTCCATCGGCTTTTCCTATTCTTTGGGTGAAGCTGCATGGTCTACTGGGGGTGACACAGCCATGCCCTATCTTACTTCTTACGGACAGCTGAGCAACGGAGAGCCCCACTTCTTACCAGATGCAATGTTTGGGCAACCGGGAGCCCTAGGTAGCACTCCATTTCTTGGTCAGCATGGTTTTAATTTCTTTCCCAGTGGTATTGACTTCTCGGCATGGGGCAATAACAGTTCTCAGGGACAGTCTACTCAGAGCTCTGGATATAGCAGCAATTACGCATATGCACCCAGCTCCTTAGGTGGAGCCATGATCGACGGACAGTCGGCTTTTGCCAACGAGACACTCAATAAAGCTCCTGGCATGAACACAATAGACCAAGGGATGGCAGCATTGAAGTTGGGGAGCACAGAAGTTGCAAGCAGTGTTCCGAAAGTTGTAGGTTCTGCTGTTGGTAGTGGGTCCATGACTAGTAACATCGTGGCTTCTAATAATTTGCCTCCAGCTACCATTGCTCCTCCCAAACCAGCGTCCTGGGCTGATATTGCTAGCAAGCCTGCAAAGCAGCAACCCAAGCTGAAGACCAAGAATGGCATTGCAGGGTCAAGTCTTCCACCACCCCCAATTAAGCATAACATGGATATTGGAACTTGGGATAACAAGGGTCCTGTGGCAAAAGCCCCCTCACAGGCTTTGGTTCAGAATATAGGTCAGCCGACCCAGGGGTCTCCCCAGCCTGTAGGTCAGCAGGCTAACAGTAGCCCACCAGTGGCTCAGGCATCAGTAGGGCAACAGACACAGCCATTGCCTCCACCTCCACCACAGCCTGCTCAGCTTACAGTCCAGCAGCAAGCAGCTCAGCCAGCCCGCTGGGTCGCTCCTCGGAACCGTGGCAGTGGGTTTGGTCACAATGGGGTGGATGGTAATGGAGTAGGACAGTCTCAGGCTGGTTCTGGATCAGCTCCATCCGAGCCTCACCCAGTGTTGGAGAAGCTGCGGTCCATTAATAATTATAACCCCAAGGATTTTGACTGGAATCTGAAGCATGGTCGGGTTTTCATCATTAAGAGCTACTCAGAGGACGATATCCACCGTTCCATTAAGTATAATATCTGGTGCAGCACGGAGCATGGTAACAAGAGACTGGATGCTGCGTATCGTTCCATGAACGGGAAAGGCCCCGTTTACTTACTGTTCAGTGTCAACGGCAGTGGACACTTCTGTGGAGTCGCAGAAATGAAATCTGCTGTGGACTACAACACATGTGCAGGTGTTTGGTCCCAGGACAAATGGAAGGGTCGTTTCGATGTCAGGTGGATTTTTGTGAAGGACGTTCCCAATAGCCAACTGCGACACATTCGCCTAGAGAACAACGAGAACAAACCAGTGACCAACTCTAGGGACACTCAGGAAGTGCCTCTGGAAAAGGCTAAGCAGGTGTTGAAAATCATAGCCAGCTACAAGCACACCACTTCCATTTTTGATGACTTCTCACACTATGAGAAACGCCAAGAGGAAGAAGAAAGTGTTAAAAAGGTAACCAGCTTACCATTCTTAAGATTTCAGAGAGGAGGTGGGACTAGGTAGAACAGGGGAGGTATTAGAATGAACCGTGAGTAAAAGCTCTGTAAATAACATGGTGTCACGTAACAGTGTAAGGCTTTATGGAAGTATAATCAGTGTGAAGGAATGTGAGAATGTTAGTGGAGGACAGAAAATAAGGGCTTAAAGCAGAGGAATTTAGAAGATGAGAGTTCAAAATGCATACAGGCTGTTTGGTGGTGGATAGAAGTGTGGAAATTAAAACAGGTTGATATTGAGACAGTAGTATGACAGAAAAATGAAAGTTTTCTCTTGTGATTTACTCTGGGCCCTGTTGGGATTTTTCTTTGGACTGTTATCTAGGATGAGTGTGGTGTTAGCCCTGAAAGCACTTGGCTACGTCTTCATGGCAGCTGTTGCAGTGTTTTTTGTTCTTCCTTCCTTGTTCTGTCTTTTAAGGTGTTCCGGCTTCATCAGTTTTCTCATTCTTGCTTTTAACACCTGGTGTTAGAGTCACTTTCCCCTTGATTTCTTTAAACAAGTAGGAACCTTGGACAGAATGTTGGAGAGTGGATTCAAGTGAAGTTTATTTGACAGTAGTGCTTGTTCTGTGGGTATTTAGGGAATGTAAATTTAAGGACCATAAGAGGACAATAAAAAAAAAACTGGTTGGGGCAGATCATAATGTCTGGGACTGAGTCATTCTTGAATGTTAGGAAGGAAGTGGAAAGATTGTCCCTAGGAACTTTTTTTTTTCTTGAAAATTTTACGTAGCAAATGAGTTGAGCTTGTTAATCTCATGTAAAATGGAAAAAACCAGGAAGCTTGTGTCAACATATTTTCTTTACATTTGTCCTGAATTGATAGAGATCCTGTTCTAGAATCTGAAGCATTCTGTGAAAACACAATTCCTACTGAGGGCGGGGCAGGGCGGGGCGGGGAGGTTCTTTGGTTTCTACTTGGAAGTTCATTGTTCAGCTAAACCAGGGTAACTGCCATCTTTAGTTTTGGAGATAACACTTGTCATTGAAGCTGAAAGCATTAACTTGACAAGAAATAGCTTTCTTCTTTTATAATCTTTTAAAGTCTTTTTCTCCTCCAAAAGCTAAACAGTTTGACTTAAAGTCAGCTGTAATCTTGTAGAATAAGCTAGTGTATGGATTTTTTACCTTTTGCTGGATATCTGAAGGACACTAAAGATGTTTCCTGAGGCTCCCGTTTCTAGAGGAGCAAGCAGGAGGCCCTGACCTGTCAGGCGTCCTGTAGTGGCGAAGCAGACCTGAGCCTGTGAATGATCCCTTTAACTCACTCTGGTTATCTCCTGTGGTGAATCTGTTTTCTTTCATCTTGGAAAATTCTGTCCTACATTTTGTGTTTAAAGAAAGGAAGGCAGGGATTCTTTTTTAAGCAATGCAAAATGTAAAATGTTAAACAGTTAACTTGTATGTGTTAGAACCATTGGGAAAACATGAGTTTAAAAATGATAATTTCTGTTAATTCTAAAGAAAATATTTGGGTTAAATTTACGTAGAGTGGTTCAGTGGATGATGATTAAACTTATCAGTAGGTGTGAGATTCATACATTGGAAATTGACCATCTTTTTAGTATATGTGCTGCTGAAGCGAGCACGGAAATTGACCATCTTTTTAATGTTTTTGTAGAATGAGTCCACTTAAATAGCTAAAGGTTCTTTTTCACAACCGTTCCATAAAAGGCCCTTGATGAATGAGTTACTCCAATTGTTCTCTTAGGGTGGTGAACAAACCGCCAAATAAAAATAAAAGCTTTCTTTATACTTGTGTGGGTTGCTTTTGAGTTTTCCGTAGGAACTGCTGGAGTTTTGGGAATGTGCCTTTGATAGCTTCTAAGCCTGGTTAGCGTTCAGGCGGTGTCGCCTTCCTGTTGTTCCTTATCCTTATGCCATCCTTACAGAACTGACTGTAACTGTTCTTTGAGTCTTTGTCTCCTTAGAATAAGCAAGTTTTGTAAGAATGGAGCTCACAGCTTACTGACTCTTACGTGGGGTGCCTGCTTGTGTACCTTTGTGTTTATAAAATTGCAAAAAAAAAATCTTCATGCCAGATAAGGACAGTAACTCAGTTAAGTAGGGAAGTACTTAAACTTCACCCTGAAATGATGTCATTGGTTACCCAGTGGGCATACGGTATGAATCTTGATACCTACTAGTTGGCTTGCAGCCATTTTTGCCTAGTGGTATTCCTAACTTGTTCTGTGAGTGGTTAATAGACCCCGCAGGGGTTGGTGGGCTTGAAACCTGAGCAGGCTCAGTGACATCTTTGCTGGTGTGGTTCACTTCCTTGTATACTACAGAGGCTGTTTTGTAGCCTGCTTTCTACATTTTAGAATCCTATCCCATTGTTATTCTATGACATCACTTCTGATGGTTTACAGTATTCTGTTGTAGATATATAATTTAGCAATCCCAAATTATGGACTATATAAAAATTTATACTTCGGTATTCATCTTCCAATGAGTTAAGAACCATTCTTTTTTTAAAAAGTGTGAAAATTTTGTTTGAGATGCAGAGAAAACAAAAGAAACAGCTTCCCACTCCCCAAATGCCAGGAAGTCAGTCCTGGTCCCTCAGTGGGCCTGCGTGGGCAGGAAGCTGCGGTCAGCAGAGCCAGGACTCCAAGTCAGACACGGGATGCCCACAACCTGCAGCTTCACGGCAAGGGCCACGTGCCAGCTCCTCTCTGCGGAATTAATTTTGAAATTGTCTGCAGAAAACAAGAGTCAGTGTCTGAGCTAATGATCATTTCAGAAACCTCATAAAGAGTTGGTATTTTTGTCTTCTAATTCTAGCCTTTAACTACAGGTAAGAATAAGGGGAGTAGTCTAGCAGAGATGACTAAGGGCTGTGATTCCTGGGATAATGCTGAGACTTAATTGGGCACTTACGTCAGTGTGTTTTGTGGAATAACTGGAATACTAATGGAGAATAGAGGGAGACGGATAATGAAGATGTAGTTACAGTGGAAGCAGCTTGAGGTTTAAAATTTCTGAATTACCTTTGCTAGTAAGGGGGAATATCATGTTTTTCTTATACCTCTTATTCCCATTTTCAAGCAGATTCCTAAAAATGATGATATAGGAATGTTTTTGAATATACTTAAATTTTATGTAGCCTTGTAAGAGTTAAGATGAAGCTGTTCAGCACATAGTAAAACTTCAAAGACAAGACATTACAAGGGCCTGGCACAGTGACCTCTAGCAGCTGAAGTCCTCGCCTTTCATGAGCCGGTTTCCCAAATGGGCACCAGTTCTAATCCCCGGCGGCCCTGCTTCCCATTCAGCTCCCTGCTTGTGGCCTGGGAAAGCAGTAGAGGACAGCCCAAAGCCTTGGGACCCTGCACCCATGTGGGAGACCTGGAAGAGGATCCTGGCTCCTGGCTTCGGATTGGCTCAGCTCCAACTGTTGTGACTGCTTGAGGAGTGATTCAAAGGATGGAAGATCTTCCTCTCTCTCTCTCTCCTCTGTATATCTGACTTTCAAATAAAAATAAATAAATCTTTTTTTAAAAAAAGAAAAGACATTACAGAGACATCAGGAATCTGTCAGCCTCATTGTATGACGGGCTCTTGAGAAAAAGTTCATGGAAAGTGATTTCAGTTTCTTTTACGTGAAAACAATCATTGGTTCTATCTTTCGTGAACTCTGGAAATAGTCTCATGTTATATTAGTGGCAGATAATAGTATAGAAGAGAATTATTTTCTCAGTATGTACAAGGTGCCAGTTTTGGAAGCTTGAAAGGAAGTGGCCTAATGCTGCTGCACAAGTCTTTTTCAGGAAGTTCTGTCCCATAATTTCTGATGTAATATTCATTATATGAAGTGAATGGTTTGGGGCCAGAAGGACAGTAATGACTTAAAGGATTGGTGAATTCCTAGTACAGATTAGCTATATTGGAGGTTGCTTTGGTTTTGATAGTGTTTGCTATTTAGGTAGTGGTGACATTTAGAGTTTGTTATGAAAAGAAAATGTGTGAGGCAGTTACAAAGGGAAGAAGATGCATCATCTGTTTGCTGTTTCACCTGCCAGGTGGTGGCCACAGTGCAGGAGCTGAGCAGATTTAAAACCAGGAGCTGCTTCTGGGTCTTCCACATGGATACTGGGGCCCAAGGATTTGACCCATCTTCCACTGCTTTCCCAGGTCATAAACAGGGAGCTGGATGGGAATTGGAGCAGTGGAGACTCCAACAGTGAGCCCATATGGGATGCTGACACTCCAGGTGGAGTATTAACCAGACTACTTAATTGCTTATTTTAAGATTTATTTTTATTGGAAAAGCAAATTTACAGAGAGAAGGCAAGGCATATTTTTCATATGCTGGTTCACTCCCCAAGTGCCACAGTGGAGGTGAACTAGTCTGAAGCCAGGAGCCTCTTCCTGGTCTCCCATTTGGGAATAGGCTACCAAGGACTTGAGACATCCTCCATTTTCCCAGGCTGTAAGTAGGGAGGTGAGTGGGAAGTGGTGAAAGTGGGTCCATATGGGATCCTGGCACATGCAAGGTGAGGACTTTAGCTACTAGGCCACCATGTTGGGCCCCCCACTGCTGGTACTTTTAAAAATCTGTTTTTATTTGAAATATAGAGATCTTCCACTTCAATTGCCAGATTCCTGCAATAGCTTGTGCTATTAGGCCTGGGTTGGGGGCTGGTAAGTCAGTTTGAGTTTTCCACAAATGTGGCAGGGACCCAAGTATTGAGCTGTTACCTGTAGCCTGTAGGCCATTAGTAAGAAGCTGGAATCAGGCAGTGTTGGGGCACACTTAAGTAACAGACTGATGGAGTTCTAACTTGTAATGAAGGATTATACTATTGTAATAATATGGGGAAAATCATTTGGGAGAGAATTTTTGGGGGGGTGGATTCCAGACCCTACATAATTGCACCATAAAATTTAAAAATAAGGAAAGAAGGTGGAATCAGAAGTAGGCTGGGACTCTAATGGATCATTGTGATA